TGTTATTCCCCTCCAGTTGATAATCTTCCAAACTGCGACTGATGGCACGCCACGATTGCTTCCAGCGCATCAGATTTACTATAAATGTACGATCTGTCAGGTGATTTATTTCACCAGTATTACCGATACTTATGCTTTCTTCTCCATCCTCCCTCACTAGCCTACTTCCAAAGCTTATCAACCAAATTACGACTGAGTTGTGCGCGATGGCTGGCTTGGCGGGAAAACCTCTCTTTAAAGCGAGCAAAACTCTTTTTAGCGGTTAGTTAAGGATTGGCGCAGACTCGTTGCAGCCCGACAAACTCGTGCCAGTAGAATTTTCCTTTGGCATAATCTAGCCAGTCCATTTTGCGAAATGTGTTTGTAGGTATGCAGAGTGTCATGCTGTAGAGGATGCCTGGGCTGCGATATTTACTGGGATTTTCGTGTCTGCACACATCACCGAACAAGCTCATGACCCTGCCATACTTTGCAGTTACAGTGTAGGTGGAGAGGGCGCACATGTTGAGTGTTGACAAAAGCCCAAAAACTGGATCTCTAGTCACAGTCACAGGCGAACGACCAGATCGATTCGCGATTAAGGTGTGCACAGACCCGCTGAGATGGTGTGGACATTTTTGGTTGTGCGAATAGCTGCGGCGGTGGTGTGAGTAGTAGTAGAAGCATTAGTAATAATAATTAGTAATACTAGTATTAGTAGCTACGGTAGCACTTGAAGGCGGTGGTGGTCATCATGGGAACAGTCACGGTTGTCCATTGTATCCGAGTGACAGTTTCGTTATGACCAGATCAAGTATATGCGACTACAGCAAGCCAGCAGGATGACGCGGCGCTGCAGCGTAGAGAAATGAGGATTTTAGTGATGTTTAGCGCTAACGGAGGTGGCTTGCGTGGGTTGTCTTGGTGGTGAATCCGGAAATTCTCACCAAGTTAAATCGGTACACAGAGGTTATGACGTTGGACTTCTAATCAACAGGTCACGAGTTCGCGCCTGGGGCGACGCAAAACCTGGCGCTTGGTATGACTGCTAATTATGGATAGTAAGCCAAAATTGCCCCTCTGGTTTCCCTTGTCGTTGTCGGTAACGTTCTCCTGCTTTGCTACTAGCCGCTGATTGGCTGCTGGCAGGGTTCGAGCGTGAACTTCAAGGTAAAAGGGAACGAATGAGTCCCGTTACCGAGCGGTGAGCACCTACACATCAAAGTTAATCCGTGTCTTTGAATGTCCGTTGCAAAGTGTGGCATGTTGGCAGGGGTTGTTAGGCCTGCAACGTTGGCCTGTTGCATTAAGGATTTACGCGCCTCCTTCTTGGTCTTTGCCTCCCTAATTCGCCGGTCCTCATAGATTAAAGCTTCAATTTTTAAGCATTTCACCCCGCTGCTTAACATGTGCAAGGTCGTAGTAGGTTTACGGGTTGATCTGTGAGTGCTCGACACAGAACGTCGGGGTATTTTTGTATAATCGCCATAAGCTGTCTTGTTGGTGACCCCCTGGAGTTTCGCCATCGTAAAATAGCCATTCAGATAGGCGATCCTAATCCTTTCACGTGACGCGATTGCACTATCGCAGCATAGTGTAGATTCTGAGGAAGCCGATTCACTCAGAGCCCTTCCTGTCACATCACATTCAACATTCTTTGGGCGCAATTGGTTTAGTTTTATTTTCCTGTCTTCACACTCTATCCACAGATCCACAGCCCACACAGTACGAAAACCCTGTTCATTCCTCGTTTTTTTTGTTGACGCGTATGCCGGAACGGCTCCAAACTAGGTGTTATGTCCTTTAGCAGGTTCTGCTACTCAAACAAATCCATTCGAGCATTTTTCGTCGATCTTGGTGCTTCCTGAACTGATGCTTTCATAAATGCAGAGCAAATGAAACAGACATGATTCTGAGTTTTTTTATACTCAACAGCTGTGAGGTGATGCAGGAGTAGTGTATTCTTCGCGCTAATGGTCAGTCCAAAATATGCACACACAGAAACAAAGACGTCTTTACTCCGTTGCATGTGCGTTTACTTTGTTTTATAAAGTATGCAAGAAAGAGACAATAAAAACTGGTCTTGAAAACACGTTGTCCGCCAGCTCGACAACTGATGCTGAAGTCCAGGTATCTCTCGAGCTAGGCGTTTTTTGGAGTGGCGAAGAACATGGAACCAAAGAGGTCTCAACCGTAACTCTCAACGATTTCCACCACGAGCTTTAGGTATCTGAGGGCAGACGCGATGAC